GACAGACGACGGATCCATCTCTCGCTGCGACGACCTACTACGCAGCTGTCCCCCATGACGGCGCCGCCGGGCGGATGCTACGGAGGTATCCGGCGATAGCCGGCGGGGCTACCAACGGCGCTGATGTAGGCGTCCACCTCGCCGAAGATCTCCTGTGCGAGGAAGGCTCCCGCAAGGCACGCTGCCGACGGGGCAGGCGGTGGAATGTGATGTTGGTCGTTTGAAGCTTGATTCTACAGTGCCTCCTTACAGCAGATTTGTTGTGCGTGCTTGTCATGTAGAGATGAAATTTCTGAATGCAATTTTGATCTTGTGAGGTGTTATCACTCAACGTGAAAGCATTGTTGATTCTCTTTATTTAGACTGAACGGTGCTCCAACGATGTAATCTGAGAATTTGTAAAGACAAATTTTTCTGAATACAAGCAAGTGTATGTCGGATGAAAGTTTACACATAATTCAGTCCAAGGGTGTATCTTGGGCGAGCAGGAGTCATAGCAGTGTGCAGCTTAGTCGCGGACAGCACGGCAGCTAATCTGATAAAATGTGAACTGATATACAGAATTTGTCTGAATGCCATATTGATGTACAGAATTTTGTGATGTAATCTGATTGAGTGTGAACTGATATAGTCGGTCTATGTAATCTGTCCATGGATGTTGCTGTCAAATGTTATCACTGACTATCCATATGAACTTTGAGTACTGTTTATACTTAACTAATGGAGTGAATCAGTTCATTTTGCCAATAATTTTTTACAAGAGCTCTTATGGACAGAAGTTCATCTTGCCAATACTTTTGACAAGAAGCATGAATTTTCATGCAATTGGCAGAAATTAAACAAAAGGACAAATACAAATGAGACGGCAAGATATCATGCCACCTGACTACAACTAGTTACTACTCCCTCTGTTCCCAAATATTTGTCTTTCTAGACATTTCAAATGCTTACAACATACGGATGTATGTAGACATATTTTAGAGTGTAGGTTCACTCATTTTGCTTCGTATGTAGTCACTTGTTGAAATCTCTAGAAAGACAAATATTTAAGAACGGAGGGAGTATCATGCAGCAGACAACAAACTTAGTCGAGTATCCGAAGCAATTAATTGGAGGCAACATAATAGTAGTACAATCAGTACTAAATATTTTAAGTTTCATCACCAATAGTAACATCCAGAATCGATATGCTAAGTACGGCCAGAATCGATATGATAGGTACGGCATTGACTTAATTAACTACAAGGTTGAGGCTACATAACTAGATGATTCTCAGAAGTACAAAATTCAGAGAAGAAAATATTGAGGCTTCGACTTCAATCTTGTACTGCCCAAAATAAAAACATGTGGTTGCCTCGAATCGAAATAAAGGAACCTGCAGATAAACATAAAAAAACAGTCAGAATGAACATACAAATTATGAAATAATATAGCTATTTTGTGTGTATGATAACTACCTTTATTATTGTTGATTCTTTTGGGGGCAACTACGACTGTCATGGAAGCCAACCTGGTTACATGTCCTGCAGGTGCGAGGCTTTTTC